AGAGGAAAAAGTATTTAAAATTTAACAGTTTCTAAATAATAATAATAAATATACATATAAATAATTTACTGATCCTTTATTACATGATCCAATATACTTATACCATAAAATAATAAATAAATTAAGGTAGATAATTAAAAAAGTATTACAAAATAATTTGTAAAAAACATGCAAGAAAAAATTAATGAAACATTATTCCAAACAAAATAACTTTCTTTAAAAAATAATATCTTGGATCTTTATCTTTTTAAACCTATCATTTCTATGTCTATAATATAAAATTCTCTAATAATAAACAAACATCCCATATAATATCGTATTATTCTTCTAATTATATCTCGTGTCCATGAATTTGCATAAGAAAATATCTATAAAAAATATTAATTTGAATATCACAATCCTATAGAAATTTATATTAAAATAACACATGTAAAATAAAAAAACAAATTTTAAGTATATTAAAATTTTAGAAAACCTATAAAATAAATTAAAAAGGAGTATGCTAAGTGAATAATTCGGGCCAAGAGTTAAACATTAAATAATTGGACCAAATTATATTATTGTTAGAGCAATGTTTTGTTTTAGTTTATAAAAAGAAGAAATATGTGTTTTTTTCCTTATGGATTTCGAAACCGTTTTGAAAAGATTCAAAGCGGCTTGCCTAAATGATTGTAGCTACGATGGGGACGAAGTGGTTATCACCCATCAGGTAAGAATATTTTTGGCATTTTAATGACTCAGCTCTGGGGGGAGGGAGGTCATATATATTATTAGAAGAGGTAAGGGAATCTATGCAAGTAAAATCCCAGACCAAGGGTTTGCATGATATAATAGAACTATAATTTTCCTTCAGGATATTTTTTATCTATGCTGAACATAGACCAAGGGTTTGCATGATATAATAGAACTATAATTTTCCTTTAGGATATTTTTTATCTATGCTGAACATAGACCAGGGGTTTGCATGATATAATAGAACTATAATTTTCCGTCAGGATATTTTTTATTTATGCTGAACATAGGTTAAAAATGTACGGGAAATTTGCCTTGCTTAGAAATTTAGCAAAATTTATTTATTTTATTGTGTCATTATTTGTTGTGTAAGTATATTGGTTTAAAAATGATATGCCCAAGCGCAAACTGATTGCATAACAAAAAGCGTCATCTATTAGTTGATTAGATATGGTAGGAATCAAGCCATTCAGGGTTGTTGAAATTAAGCGTCCCAAGGAGAGGGATTTATATTGGTTATCACCGCTTAAGTTGTGATAAGCAAAGGAACGAGATACCCATCCTAGATTTCAGTCTTTTTGCTTTGACGAATCTGGTTGAGGTGTATTTGGCAAGGCCTGAAACTGGTAAACTATTTTTGGAATTATCATTTACAAAATTTGAATTAGAAGATTAACAAAAGCGACCTTATGGCAAAATAATTTCTCTTAAAAAGTTTACACCTACGCTATGGGGTGTTAATTTATGTTCAAATCCTTGATGGAATTAAAGGGAACGCTCATTTCAGCTGCTAGATTTGTACATAAAATGAACTTAGCTATACTACTTAATAATGCTGAATCACTGACATAAATGTCCTGGACAAAAAGACCCGGGAAAAGTAGACACGAACAAAAAGGCATTTGATAAAATACCTCAATTTTTGAAAGATTTTAAATGCTTAAAAGTGAATTGATGATGCCACAGAAGAATTGTTTTGGAGTAAATTAAATATAATTTATCTAGATTTTTGGAACCCTTGGTGAAAGAAAAATATTTTTTAAAAGAAAAATATTTTTTAAAAGAAAAAACGACATTTCCACATGCACATTCCGGGCTAAGGAATCATTTCACTAATTTTACTAATTCTATCATATGTGAGACAATTAAATTATTATTTAAAAATTATGTTTTATATTATGGTTAGCAATACTATGCTCTTGGCTTATCTTCTAGACCTAAAGGAACTTTAAAAAAAATTGACAGATATTCAAATAGCAGATCTGCTATTTTAAATCTATTTAAAATCTTTTCTTAAATATTGGAGCAGAATTTCTATTGTGTGAATTAATTCCGCGGTCAGTGAGTAATACTGATTTGTGATGGATCGCGCCATCGTCTAACCGATGACCAAGTTGACAAACTGATTTATATATTTTGATGAAAAATGTTCCTTGAATGCTTGATTTTCTATTATTTGTATTGTTAGATTTATTTTTATTTTAAAATTTTATTTTAATAATTGTTAAAATCCTTCATTTTTCTACCTGATGAAGATATATTATATATCTTTGTCAATAACATTGGAATTGTAAATTCCCTAATGACAGCAGGACCTACTTACAAGCTTACATCCACGACGTTTTAAAAACCATAACTAAATGGAAATCAATGACTAAATAATTATATATTTTATTTCAAAATTAAGCAAATGGTTTTTTAATTATATTTAAAAAAATAATAATTTAGATTTTTTATTACATCGCCTTTAATGACTTTTTTATCAAGAAAAAATGAAATAACTAAGAGAACGATGGGTATTTCAACCTAATTTTTCTATTAATAGATTTGTACTATTCAATTAACTTATATGCCAATTTTTAGAAAATTTTTTAATCAAACCTTTTCCGGAAACGAAAACACGATTTAAAAAAAATATAACAATTTTAAGAAAGGGACTCAAGGGCTATCTAGATACCAAAGATCTCTCTTTATTTTTATTACTTTTTCCTGATTAGAAAGACGCCATTTTTAACTTTGACCCGCCATATCTCTGGAACTAAATTTGGAGCTTGACAAATTAAATTACATAGATCCTCAAAACTACAGGTAAAGTGAATTTTTAGCGGCTCGAGCCCAAATTTAAAAAAAATTTATTCGAACCTGACTAAAAAAGATTTATAATTTGAGTTTAAATTTTTTAATATCTAAGAAACAATTAAAAATTCTTTGTATTTATTCACATATTGCCATCTTAAAATAAAAGTATATTTAACCCCCATAATTTAATCAATATTCATATAAAGTTACATTTTATTTAATATGTTTACATATAATTTTATTCAGTTTAAATATAAAAGGTTAATTAAAACACAATCGAATTTAAAAATTATTGTGATTATATAAAAATAATTTGCATGATTAATGTCGAAAATGATAATTGTTTATAATAAGGAAAAAATTTCTAAAAAATATATAATTGAACATAATCATTATCAGTTAATCTAATTGACAGTTTTGTGAAACAAATATATTTAGTATATTTGTATTTTCGGGCTTAAGACAGTCTATGCAGATTTCTACTCAAAACATATAAATGAACTTTGCATAAGTTTCATTTGTTATAAAAGAGGTTCACGAAACTTGATCGATTTCACATGGAATGACAACATATATTAATATATTTTTTACCATGAAATGTTTAATAAATTTTAAGAGCTAACTTTTGAAAATTTTATTATTCTATTTTAACATGATAAACATTTGGTCTTCCTTCCTTGAAATCCAACTTTTTTAGAATAGAAAAATATTTATTGTAATAGAAAATTTATTTCATCCATTTCAATATTTTCTGTATCTGTTAATAACCAGCACAACATTTAATATAATTGAATAGTATCATCAATTAAATAAATAATTTGGGCTAACTAAAAATAATTCATTTTTGTTTACCGGACACAATATTTATCTAATTTTTTTTAAACTGAGATGACACGAGTTTTGGACTTTTAGTACCCATCATTTGAGCTTGAACCTTAATCTTGTTAAGTTTAAGTTGGATTCTATAATCATTATATCAAATTGATCGTCTGAAGATCGCGTTTTTTTGGTCGATTTGTTATTGAAAAAAAAAATATAGAACAAATAAGATTTTATTATTAAATACTTAAAAAATAAAATATTATTATATGATATATTGCTAATATTTTATAAATCATAATGTAATGAAAAATAAACATAGTTTTTTATAAAAACAAAATTCGACGTAATTGTTTATTAATATCAGAGACCTGCAGAGATATCATTTGCATGGCCCGGCCCGGCCCAGGTTTTGTTTTCAAAAAAATTTTTTGCCTGGCCCGGTTTTTATACTTTCAGGACCGGTGCAACGTACTATTTTTACTCCATATAAAAATTACTCATTTATTTAGTGATATTGACATTTACGATTGACGTGCATAAATTTAATAATATATTTTTTAGTTGACATTTTTGACTGACTTGTAAAAATTAAATATAATAAATTTAGTAATATTGACATTTTTGACTGACTTGTAAAAATTAAATATAATAAATTTAATGATAACATTTTTGACTGACATGTTTTACTCCTTATAAAAATTACTAGATATTGACATTTTTGACTGACATGTTTTACTCCTTATAAAGATTACTACTTATTTAATGATATTGACATTTTTGACTGACATATTTTACTCCTTTACAAAAATTACTCACTTATTTAATGATATTGACATTTTATACTGATATGTTTTACTCCTTATAAAAATTACTCACCTAGTTAAGGAAATTGACATTTTTGACTACGTGTAAAGATTAAATATAATATAGTGATATTGACTTTGACATTATAAAAATTATTCACTTATTTGACATTTAAGACAATTTTTTATTCTCTTTGCAAAATTTATTTATAACTTGAAAAAGGTCAAAAATTATTATATAAATATGAAATATAACAGCTTTAAAAAATATCCTGATATAAATAAGATACGCGATATAAATAAGATCGCGATATAAATAAGATACGCGATATAATAAAGATATATGATGTAAATAAGATACGCGATATGAACAGGATTTTCTTCAGAATTAAGCTTTACATTTTTAATTGCTGGTTCTTGAAAATTTTCTTCATTATCTAAAAAAAGGAATATTATTTAATAATTAAATCAATTGTATACCTTCTATGGTAGAAGAAGAACATTTTCACTTGGTAACCTGAGAACTGTTTAAAAGTTATTTAATAAATTTTTTAAAGTTTTAACCTTTTTTCTGTCCTGCTTTAATTGTGTCATCTTGATAAATATATAAATATAAAATTAATTTATTTTTAAACTATACCTTTTCTTGTAACATGATGTTTTATGTTACAATTATTTGCTTAGGTTTTTATCTGTTTCCCACAGGCTCTCATTAGCTCTACATTGCTTAAATATTATAAATATTTTGTTGTTAAAAATCTTAATTTATACTTTTGTCAATCCCAACTATTGTAAAAGAACCCAGCCAAGGCTGTGTTATTTTTCCACCCTTCCTATCAGCTCAATAGCTGTTCCAGATAAGCACCTAATCATTTATCTTATAGGGAGTATTTTTCCCAGTATTGCGGGTTCTATAATCCCTCTGCTGCTTGAGCTGGGCAATATTATGTATGTCTTGCATCTTGCAAACAATACTTTTAAAATGGTTTTTCCTATCTTTCTCCTCAACATTGTCGTGATCTATATCATAATCATCATCATCCTTAAATATAATTAAGTATATAATATATAGTATATGATTTGGTTTATTATACCCCATAAGCTTGTATTGCTTTTCTACCATACATCAGCTCAAAGGGCGTGTCAATGATTTGTGATTAGATGTGTTATAGGCAAATAATATGCCAGGCAAGGCAGCTTTATTATCAAATAAATCATACTTTTGCCCTGCCATATGTGCATAGTAATTAAAGGAATTTCGATACTGATTTAGCTGTTTTATCCTTAAAAGGCATGGCTACAACATATTTGCTGAAGTAATCAACAGCTACTGCAATATATTTATAGCCATCTTCACTTTCTGGCAAAGTACACAAATCAACTCCTATTTGTGACCATACCTGTTATAAAAAAAATTCATTGTTATACTATATATATTATATTAAAAAGAGTTAATCTCGTAATTAATTTTAGTGTGGTTAAAAGGTTAGAGATGGGGATTAAAGTCAAGTAAAAAAACTAATATAAATTATGACCTGAAATTGTAGACGCTTTACTAAAATGGATATATCATATATTTCATGTAAAAAGATTCAATGGATAATTTAATAAATTTGCTTACCTACCACTTTATATGGTTCTTCTAATAAGGATAGAAGATATAATAAACTATTTTAAAATTTAAATGGTTCAAGATGTGAAAATAACATCTTATAAAAACAAGTGTCACATCATACCATTAATAAGACTATAAATAAAAATATTTAAAAAAATTATATACAGTTAAAATGACAAAAACTATAAAAAAATTAACAAATCAATGATTTTAATATAATATATTTTACTACCTTTGCTCTAAAACAGGAATTGATTGTAACTCATTGGTAGTTTTATCAAATCTTGTATTACACCTTTGACAAGTGTCACAAGAATTAATAAATTTGACTACATCATCTATCATATTTGGCCACCAGAAGCTAAAATATTATATTAATTATGACAATGAAGTCATTTTACTTATCAGCTAATTTTTTATGGGTCTTGTTAATACCAAAATGGCCAGCAAGTGGAATTGTTTCAATATTATTATCACAACCACTGTGAACTGATTTAATAAGTTCTTTTCTTCTTGTAGTGTTCATATTAACTTCCCCATTGTATGTATGTTGATATTATTTATCATTGCTCATAGTAAATTTGGGGATTTTTTGTATTATATGAAGTTTTTAATTTCTTCATAATCTAAAAAAGTTATATAAAATTCAAATATTTAATTTACTATCTTCATTATCAATTGTTATTTCTGAAATAAATGTTGATTCTAATTTGAATATTTTAATTTTATAGAAAATTTATGTTTTTTGATTGACAAGTTAGAAAAAATATGAAATTAAATTATAAAATATTTTTTAAAATATATCATTATTAAAAATACACTGGTAAAAACTTACTCAGGTATGTAATTACCAGAGTTGTTAAAAGATACTTTTTAAATGGATCTAGATACAGATACAACGTCTAAAATAATATCTAGATACAGATTATTTAATCAAAAATCTATCTAGATACAGATACCACATTTTTAGATCCTTTAACAACTCTGATAATTACATTATAATAGAAGAATAAGTATTAAATTTACTCATTAAAATAGGCCAAAAAGAGTGATTTTAATACATGAGTGATTCTAGCACGTTACATATATCATTATTAAAAATGTATTTTATTTATTTTTGATTTTTATAACTAATAATGTAATATGGGGGGGGGGGGCAGATTTAAGTGTTTGTGGATGGGTGTAAACTTTCAGTGGCTTAGAGAAAGTAGAAGTTTATCGATTTAAAATATACGACCCTGGGTAGGACTGTGAAGCTACAATAGCCATTGTAGCTTCAATACCGTATTGATATTTTGGTATTCTAAAATCAATACCGTATTGATTTTTAAGAGTTGTTTTCATCGTTTTAAATGTATTGGCGCCCATTAAAATTGTAAAATATTTATTCATTATATATTTTTCATCGTTTCAAATATATTGGCGGCCATAAAATTGTAAAATATTTATTATAATATATTTATTCATCGCTTCAAATATATTGGCGGCCATTTAAATTGTAAAATATTTTTTATTATAAATTTTTCATCGCTTCAAAAATATTGGCGGCGAATTTCAATTTATAAAATTTTAAATATATTTAAATGATTATAAAAATGATTTCCTATTCTTTTATATAATTTTTTCAGGGAATTAATTTTAAAATTCTTGATATTCTATATAAATTTTTTTGTTTACGCATTATTTGTAATAATTTTCTTTCATCTATAAATGTCGATTCAAAGATTTGTAAATTATATTTTAGATTTTGTTCGTAAAAGTTGAGGTTCGGTCATAAATTATCAATACGGTATTGATTTTACAATATTGTAGAATCAATACCGTATTGATCCGTATATTTTTATAAAAAAAATCTAGGGCCTGGTCTGCAGGTCTCTGATTAATATTATACAATGATGGTAAATAACCTGATTTTCGGGGTGTTACGCCCACCAAATGATAAAAGCCTTTGTGTATTTTGGTGGTCATGTTTTATTTTTTAAATATTCTACATTATATTTATTTTTTTTTTTTAGGAATTCTAAAAATCAAATGATCTTATATATATTATGAATAATTGATTAAATTTAATCTAATTGTCATATAACAATATTAAATACGAAAAAATGTTGTCTAGCTGATTATTTAAAATGCATCCTTTAGAAACTATAAAATTATACGATTAAATCGTTATTTAATAAATTCGCTTATGTAAAATTTTAGTTAGTACTTTATTTCTTTTTTTAATTAAAATTTAGTTTCAGCCACCGAGGTTAAAAAGCTTAGTATTATGATGGATACTTTATCCCAAGAAAAATTAAAATCGCGACAGGTTTCCTTTTTCTTATTTATTTGTGTAACTATCCTCTTTTATCCTTGAAAATGGTTTGTATTTTTATTATTAAGACATAATTTAATTCCAGAGACCTTCATGACCCAATGGCCCATATCCAGATCATATTTTTTAACGGCCTGGGCCGGTCCTGAGTTTTCGATAAAAAATTTTTTAATGGGCTGGGCTTGGGCCAAAATTTTTATATTTAAATTTAGCTTATTTAAGTTGTTAATTTTAAGAAATATTTCAATTTTTTCTTCGAATAATAATAAATAGTATTGTAAACAAAATGATTACACTTAAATATGATTTATTTTTATTTAATACAATAAATTAAATTTTGGATATGGGCCTGAGCCGGGTTTGCGAAATTTTTTGAAACATATTATGGGCTTGGGCCGGGTTGGGAATTTTTACAATATTAGATATGGACCGGGCCTGGTTCTAAAATTTTTTTTTTACTACGGACCTGACTTGATCAAAAAATTAAGGCCCATGAAGGTCTCTGCATTCCATACCAGATGTTTTACACGGAATATGTTATTCCAGACAATATTATTTTATTAACTAATATTGATCTTTTTTGTTTATTAGAGATCAGCACAAGCGAAAGATTTTCTAGTCTAAACCTACCTGTACAAAGTTTTTGTACGAGTTTTTCGGCTTAAGTCTTATTTTTTTAGCTGAGTTCAGGCTTGATTGTGCAGATTTCTAATGCCTATACTTAAAGACACTAAATAACATAGAAGTAACGCTAATAATTTTTAATTTTATGGAAAGGGTAAGAAAAAAATTATTCAACAAACCACAATTCCAGCTGCAAGCAAGAGTAAAAGGCCTAGCCTTAAGAAAACTAGTGACAAAGACTATGATTCATTTATGCCACCAGATGAGGATGAATATGATATGTTTTAAATATAATCAACACAACAAATAAAATTGACATAAATTTTACCATATCTTATGCTTTAAAATACTTGTCTTTTAAAATATAATCAAATTTGGATATTAAAATTTAGGAAAAAATTCATTTTTTTTGCCAATCAAGTTTACAAAAAATGTGTTGGGAGATTAATATAGAAAAAATCATATCAATTTTTTTATACAATGAATTTGTTTTCCAATTTCAGGATTGAATCTTTTATAGTTAACTAACAAATAACATGGAGTGGAATTTTCCTCAATCATTTTGTAAATCTGAGTTGAACTAGATATATTTGTTTGATATTATTTAAAATATATGATATATTATTTGCTAATTAAATATACGATAATTAAAAGTAATTTTATTCACTGGAAGTTATCAAAATGTTTAAGGCAGTTTTTATTACAAAATATAACGACAAATAACGTTAATAATGTAATTTAGATTGTAAAAATCGGCGACCTCTTTTTTTCCATTTAATGGACACATCCAGATTTACTCGGTTGACCAGCTGTATCTCTAATTCCCTTTTTGCATTTTCCAGATCTCAACCATCATTAATAAGACTCAATATATATTTCAAAATATATAATTTGTCATTCGACGAATGAATTAATTTAGAGCTCTTCCCCGCCATCCTAATTGTGTTTTGTTTTACATATGGTTTTATTCCGTCTATTTCCAACACAGTACATCTCTTTACTATCATAGTTGGCCTTTCTTTCAATATTGTTAAACAGCCTTAATTTATGTCTTCTCCTGACATCAATGCATCGTTTCTATTCTAAGCCTTTCGCTCAATTCTGGTTCTTCTTTTCTAAATAGTCATCCAGTCAGATACAACGAGACATTTTTATCCGTTAGATTCGACGATATGTCTAGATTTTTTTATGCATATTCTTTGCCACCGCAGATCAACGTTACCAAAGCCTATAAACGAATTATATATATACGAAATACGAATAACAATGGGAAAAAATTATCCATTAAATAATAGCATTTTCATTATGAACCGAATTTTTCGAAATATATACTTGGAGATTTTATGTGCCCAAGGTTTTTGCGAGCCTTGGGGTTTTCTTCTAGTATACTCAACTCTAATAGTAAATTTTTTAACAAAAAATGTATAACTACATTATGCTTTTATAACTTTTTAATATAAGATCACATTAAATTTTTATAACACAATATATGATTAATTTAATTCCCTCAAAAGTAACTTTTTTAAATGCTGCAATTTATTAAAAATAATAAAGGTTTTAATTATCCAATTATCTTTGAAAGATTAAATTCTATTCTAAAAAAATTATTCTTTATTTGAAAAAATATGTTTAGACTACCATAAAATTAAATTTTAAAGATATTAAGGATCTAGGGCTACTTTTCAGAGGCTCATGTGGGGGACTTTTTGAGTGTTAAGATGACCTTTTTCCAAAGGGTGCCCACCCATAGTACAAAATAATATGGGTATTAAACCCTGTATCGTCCAGGATGAAGACATTTTCAAAAGAAATATTTTTCATCTAGTCATAATATTCCTTTCGAAATTGAATAACATCTGGTTACTAAAGGGTTCTTTTCCGGCTCGAACCCATTGTAATACATTTTGATATAGCCGACTCGCTCACCCTTAGATTGGCGGTAAGTGTTCTATTATGTTTTTGATGGTAAAGCCGTTATTATTACCAAACAATTCAGCTATATTTGATTAAAGTTATGTGCTGTCTTTTTTCTTCCGATCTCGTTGTTCTAGTATTAATCAGATGAAAGGTCGACATAATATTCAGGTAAAACGATAAACTGAACCAATTGATAAATTTAGATTATGGGCAATTATCTTTGCATTAGGCTAATCATCAATTGGTTTGATTAACCATCCCTCTAATTACCATTTTTTTCCGCAATCGAATGTGATCAAAATTTGGTAGCTAGTGAATTTTCGAATATTGACATCTCTAATGTCAGTTAGACATCTCCGGGATTTGATGGGATATGTGAATAACTTTGATATGTTTTTGTAATTTCAGAGAGAATATGAAGTTTCATTAGGTGTATCTAAAATTATGTATAAATGTTAGTAAATAATTGAATATTATATTAACAAACCTGAAACTGGAGATAGATTTAAAATACTAGCGATAGTAAAATTTGACATTAAAAAATAGAAATATAGTGTTTAATCGAAAAAAAATTTATATTAGAAGTTTAAAATAAATATTGTCGCAAATTTATAAAAGAATTTGTAAAAAAATTGCCAGAAGTTTTTTAAAATAGTATTATTTTTCTCAACATTTTCTAAGTCTTTTAAAAAAGGTGTTTTTCACAACAAGTTTTTACAATGCTCAAGGAAAGTAATATAATTATATTGTAATGTTTTTTAACATAAGTGTCGTGCATTTCAAAACATTACCATATTAATTTATTTAGAAATAAAATTATTTGACTTACAAAAAATTGTTAAAATGACATGTTTATATAATCTTATCAATTTTTACAAGTTTAATAATTTTATTTACAAACGAATTAAAAATATGGAAATGTTTTAAATTAAACCTGCGCAACACTGTTGGTGTAATTTTAAATGTACTGGAAGTAATAGGGTACTCAAAATTAATGAACCTTGCTTTCACTAGATGCTTAATGGATATCATCTCGTATAGATGTTAATTGTACTCGCTTATATCATTGGTTCAAACATAAAATATAATATATTTTTTTATTAATTTATTTAAAAAATTAACTTTCGATTTATTTTGTCCAAAAAATGTGAAAAGCTTAGTATAATAAAAAATTATTATAAAATTACAAAGTAGGTTATTTTTCACAATTATGGAAAAATATATAATATTAATAAATCACAATTATATAAAGTCATTAATTTTTGCTGTATTTTATCAAATGCCAAGTTCCTTTTAAACGTCAACATTATATGTGGGAAAATAGCCTAAATCCCTATGTATAGGATGTTCAATCAGGGTGTTTCGGTAATTAAGTGTATAAAGATTAGATTTGCACTTTATTATGTTTAGAGCTAACCTTTGACGTAGGTAGAATCCCTTGTTGCGATCCTCGGTCCCAGCAGAGATCCGTTTTCCCTGCTCTTTTAAGAAGGCTAGAGCATGAGAGCCGAACGATGTTAGAGTCGTGTAAATTAGTGGTAGGAATGATTAGTTGGCAGGTAGAGATGGCAAATATTTAGCGAGTTTATTCGTCTCTGCGTCCAGTAAAGCATCCCTATTTATAAGAGGCAAGAGGATCGATGCATGAAAATCCCAGTTAGGGATTCCCCCTTCTTCCAAGAAATCATGGTAGAACCATCAGCCCGCTTACCATCGGAATTGTAAAGGCTAGTAGGGTTGACGGGATGCCAGCAGATTTCAAGGGTCTGGCAATAGTATCATTGCATTTTGAATGCCTAATGAATCTACCTCTACAGCGCTTGCAATGCAAAGAGTGACGACCTTTGGAGTTGACCGATGTTTGACAGAGGATACAGTGATAGGGTATCACAATAAAGTCTAAGACCGATGGCGTGACGTAGCTCAACATCGCTTAGGAGCTGGTCAAGGTATCGCTATGAGAAAGCCTGAAGAAATTCGTACCCACTATCTGCGGAAATGAAGAAGAGTAGAGAATGGTCTTCGGGTTGACTCAATTTTATGCAACGGAGTTGCAAACTAGAGACTTATCCCAGTCCTTCTGTATTGCCGATGAGGGAGGATCGATTAATGAGAGAGACTTTTATAGATCAATTACCTGCAGAAGCAAGGGGTTAGGATGTTTTGTGAGTGTGTATATGATGGGCTCGCAAGACAGACGAGAGGATATGAACGCACTAACGGGCGACCTCATGCCACTGCCACCGGATTTGGTGGGTAAGGTAGCCTGTAACAAGATAGGTCTCCAAATTTATGATTGAGTACTTCTGTGAGGCGTTTAATCTCGAGCTCATGTGCAGCGGGGTTGACAAAATTGAAAGATTAGCGACGATCGGAGTGTATATAAAATTCTCGAAATTAGTAGGCAGTTCTTCAATAGGAAGAAATTTGGTGGGCTGGGAGGCGGAATAGTGTAAAGCGCATGAGAGATATCTCTCGTGAAGTATCGGCAAGGAACTTGATAAAGGACTCGTCTTTACCTACTGGAGATCCGAGATGTGTCAAAGAGTTCTATGGTATATGATCATGGTTAAGGTCAATGATCCCAAGAAGACAATATTCGCTCTTCTCTTGATTAAAACGTAGTCCCAAACTGATCTCGCTGGATTTTATTATCTTCTTTCATCACTTCATCCGGTAGGCGCTTAGTATACCATTGTCGATATACTAAATATGAAGATTTAGCTTGCATTGGTCATTTAAGTCTCGTATCAGACATTGATGCCCAGACAGAACAAAATGGTACCTAGAGGGTCACCTTGTTGCAGGCGCGTACGCAACGAGGGGGCAGGGGGACAAATACCCCCCCCCCCCCCCCCCAGCCAAAAAATGCAGATGCTGGATATATTTTTCAAAAATATTATTGTTTATATTAATTTATATTTGTTAATATTTATTCCTATCTCATATTAAATATTTAATTACATTTATTTATCCATTCATCTACTAAGTTATTTTATCAATTAATTTCGATTTCAGGTTTTCCGGCGTGATATTTACTTATTATTTTCAAATTTTTAGTGGCGTAATATTTATCTACCATTTTCAAATTTCTAGTCAAATAATAATTATTTCTGAAACTCCTTGTCCAACAGAAAGAAAGAAATTGCAAGCTTGTCCAAAGAGATATAGTCTTCGCCATCAAGCAGTAACAGCTTTTATGGAGTTAGAAGAGCCGATTATTTGCCATTACTGAAATATCACAATGGCCTGAAAGAAATATTTCCTCAGAAGCAAGAAAATTATTGGATTCAATGCTTATTCCAAATTTTTTTCCTAATTAGGATGTATTATTTAATTATACAACTATATGTAATACTTTTCAAAAATATGATATTGACTTGATTAATAAAAATAAAATAGCGGAGAGCATTTTATTAGAACTCAAGGAAATTAAGGCTAATGTTGATGAAGAATTTCATATTTTATATGTTATTGTTGAGTCAAAAGCAGAGCTATACGTGTTTAATATTTGTCTCCCTCGACTTGCAGTAAGGCAAGTCATTGTTAAAACATTAATATAGGATCAGTAGAAGAGTATTATAAAACAAATGTCCCCTCTCTTAGATATATTTATAACCCAAATAAATTTATGGTTTTTAATTCATC